ACTGGTCTTGTGACCCCTTGTTCTCCCCCACTTTGCCTATGGGGGTGTGTCAAACATTATATATGTTGTAGCTTTGTAGGCTACAGTGGGTTTAGCCTTAGGGGGTACACAATTCTAGGGTTGCATATTTGTACTCCCATTCTTGCTAGTCACATCATTCCTCGTTTCTTCAGAGCCATCACTGGCTGGCCTGAGCGCTGTCCAACGCTGTCGTGTTGCAAAGGTGTGCCGGACGAGATGATAATCGGCCCATCCTATTGCGCGGGTGCATTTGCAAGTGTCGGTGTTGGTGCTGGTGCATTCGCCGTTGATTGTTGTCGGGCGGAGTCGCGTTCCGTCGTGAGCGTCGCATTTCGAGTGCCGTTTCTTCGAGTTGGCGCACGAGTCGGTCGAGCTGCTCCTTCATCAATGTCACGAGGGTAAATTCGACCATGGCGGAGGTGTCGGGCAAGCTCAGCGAGAGCCTCAGTCGTGGCCGTGCGTGCTTTCGAGAGAGCACTCGAGTGGCGGTGCTTGGGAGATGAGAGACATCTACCCCTTCCAAAAATTGAGGTAGTGGGAAAGCGAAGGTGTGGGTGCGGTACGAAGAGGGATCGTGGGATCTGATACCAAGTGTTACGAGTGCAATTGAGCGAGCGAGCGAGAATTGCACTATCAAAACAAAAAAGTACATCGAGCGAAGGCATGAGCGAAGACTATATAGCGAAAGCTAGAGTGGTAACAGTCATGTGCGAAAACGGGGTGCACTACGGGCCTAGCAATGAGGTTGGGAAATGTCCAGGCGGAGGCCCAGAGCGCGGGTTACCAACCGAGCCGTGAGGTTGGGTCGCGTCGTGAACAGTGGCGGGAACAGTAGTCGAGGTGATTGTTGCGAGTGGTAACGGTTTACTGTTGGCAAGAAGAGTAGTGCACGTGCTGAGCGTAAGGAATTAGAATTCCTTACTGTAGTCAGTTATTAGCGAGGACATTGTGAGGGTCACGCGACGAACCTGTTTGGCCTATTTCGTCGCACCGAACCACTCCGGAGTCGGTTCCGCACCAATCGCAACCATCACCGAGCCATCCCTTCCCGAAACCCCCGCCTAGCTAGCCCTTCCCCTATTTAGTCGTGCCACTCTCATTGTATCGTCCTTTGGTAGTCAAACATTCTCGTTATTTGTTTTACTGCGCACTCTGCAAGTTCATTCATAACACCTGGTATCAGAGCTACTTTCCTAGCCTACCCCGCTTTTTAGAGTGTAAAACCCTTCGGAGTGGGGACGGAGAAGGATGCCTTGGGCCCAGGAGTTGCGTAGGCCGGCTAAGAGAACGGGTTAGTTGCTCTTCGCGGCCATGGATTTATCGTGCACTCCTCGGTACCGCCGGATCCTTGCCTTCAACGGCCGCGATCGATTGTGACCTCCCTCCCCCCAGGCAACGGGCAGCAGTAGCTGTCGTGAGTTAAAGTGAGTAATTTCCGCTGCGATTTTCAACGATTTCGGAGCATAATTCGTGTGGCAACTGGCTTCAGCGGACCTGTGTCGGCATCTGCATGAAAAGCATCGACGTCGTCAGTGTGTGTGGCTGTTGACGCCGGCGGACCTGAGTTAACGGCTGCGCGACGATCGTCCTTACGCGACAAGTTAACGTCGGTGGCACACGTCAACATGTGCACGAGATTTTCGGAAGATCCTCGGCAGCTGGCGACAACGGCCCTGCGTCAGCATGGGCGTCTTTTTTGGAGCTACTGTGGAGAAAAAGTCGGCTGGGGAACTCGCCAGGCGCAAATGGAGTTTTGCGTCCGAAAATGTCAGTGGCAACGGTGAACGGCACGCGAACTGCCCAATTTATGCGGGCTCAGCTGCTGTCGAGCCCGACCTCAAGTGCTGCCGCTTTTACTGCATTGGCGGGCGTCTCATTGAATATTTTCGGCAGAAGTGCTCGTGGACAGACGCGACTTCAGACTCGCCGACACTTACGGGCTGCAACGAAAAACGGAGTGGCCATATCGCACTTAGGAGAAGTGGGGCGCAGGCGACGGGGGAACTTGAGGCAGGTACACCTCGGAAACAATTCGGACGACGCTGCGTGTCTGGTGTTGTTGCAAGCTGGCCGGCAACATCGAGAGCGGTTTCTCCTGACCAGGGATTTCGTTTTCGGGGGCAGCTGCTGACAACCCACGATTAAACGGCGTCCAAGGTACCACCCGACAATTTCGGAGGGGTCGGTACAGGCTGCCGGGACACACGGGAAGAAACGGCCCAACGGTTAAGCGGGGGTTGAAGAACATGGTGGGAGCAGATTAAAAGCCGGTGGAATCGATCTGCGGCCCTACTTCGCCCGAACCTCACCATCCCCACCAAGTCCTGGTTCTGACTCATGCAGTCAACCTACTTGGCCGAATAACGGGGGTGAACACGTGCCTACCCTGTGCTGGTTAAAGGCACCTGGATTGGTGCTCGTTCAACATCTGTACAGAAAAGACAAAATATATATAAATATATGAATGGAATTCGCGGCACTGTTTTACTCCGACAAAAGCGGGCTGGGTGAACGGCACGCGAAAAAGTCGGGGAGTAGCGAAGAAGAAGTGGTGCAGTTTACAGGTTTCTTCTGACCCGGGCGTCTACACGACTGGACGGCGCAGCCGCGAAGCTGAGAGCCGGAAGCTGAGGAATTTTTGCTGGTGGGCTGCAAAATGGTTGGGCGATAGTTTCCTTTTAACTAAGGCTACCCCGACTCCGATAGTTTTTGCCTCTCCACCGTGGCCGAGTTCTTGCGGGCAACACCGATGATACCCCATCCGACAAGGGCGGACACTGGGTGACAAATTGACGGAGGGAAAGTTGTGGGTGATCCGACAAGATCACTTGAGTGCGGATGAGCTCGTGCACCACTCCACCGTGAGTTCCAGAGTCTATTCGGTAGACAACCGAAAGGGTTTGATATTGTTACATGGAGGCGCGGCGAGGGGTGCATCGCCAAGGATACCTGGGATTCGCTAAGTGGCTTCGACGGGTATGAAGATGGGTGAACATCGGAGTACCAGGGTTAACGGCGGAAACGTCGGGGCTACACGGCGGAAAATAACTTCGGGACTGCTGCCTCAACCACGATTTTTGGGTAATTTTCCTATGGTGAACAAAAAAAAATTGGAGCTGAGGGTGTTTCTTCGCTTCTTGGAGTACGGTTGAGCCGTTGGGGAACTTCTCCTGAAGGGTCACTTTTTAAGTCGCCTGGCAAGAAACACAACGGCGGGGATACCTAGAACCCACTGGTGTTAAACGTACACCGCGGGAAATTCTTCAGTAAACGGGAGCGTAGGAGCAGCCGAAGTTTCGGGATTTACCTACCGGCGACGAGCGATGAGGTGAAACAAATGCAAAGCGCCAGTGGGGGTTTGTGTGGTCTTCAGTTAAACTTCAGCGGCGGGAGCAGTTTCGACGACGGGGTCAACGGCGTTGATGCCACTAGGTTCCGTGAAATTCGGTCTCGGAATAACCCAGGGCAGTCCTCGGTTCTCGATTGAACCTACATGCTGGGGTCGGGTAACCGACGGAAACTGATGGTGACCGAGTGGGCGGCTATAGTACGTCCGAGATTTTCGGAGGCGATCTGCACCTGCAACGACGGATTTACGGGGCTACTTTTCGAGCGACAATTTCGGAGTTCGACGAGGGAGTTACCGGTCTTACGGCGAGGAGCGCCAACATTTTTGTGGCAGTCCTTCGGCATTTGATTAAACGAGCGCGACATCTTCGTGGGGCAACATTGCGGGAACTACACGGAGTTTCAAGGGGTACGAGCGACTTATGACGAACTGAAGAAGGCGGCAGCAACAGTAAAGAGGGGGGAGCGACAGTTGTAAATTTCCATTCCTGCCCAAGAATCATCGGCGCATTACGACAAATTTCTCGGACATTCCATCCTAACTCTGCTATCGACAACTCGCCTTCGACCCACCCACGACAAGTGCATTAATTTCGACCACGTCAGGTGCTGCCAGCTGCAGCTGCGGAAAGTTCTACCGAAAGTTTTGGTGGAGTAACGACAAATTTTGATGGTTCGAGCAACATAGATTTTTCATCGCGATTTCTGGTCTACTTTTGCGGGTTCGCCCTCGACGAGTTTTGGTGCACGTCACACCCGCTTTCGTCATCGACTTTCCACACCGACATGTTTTCATATTGTCCCCTATGCTAAACGCTCGTTTCGTTGAGACTTAACACATGGGTTTTTGTTTTTCATCTCTCCGCAGCTGTGAAGAAGGGAACGTGCTTTGCACTGTTTCTTTCCTTGGCGTTTTCTCGGCTTCGCCTTGACTTTGTCAGGATGTGTCAGCACGACGGACGATCGCGATCACACCAACAAGATCAACGGTCGCTGTTACGTCGCAATCGAATTTCGCGTCAGCAGCTTCCCTCCAAAAATCGCATCTGCTTCGACCGTCAGATCTACATCTGCTCGATCAACGGCCCACATTCCAACTTCCACTTCATTTTGGGCCAGTTCATCGTCAACCGTCACATCGTCATCTGACTTCATCAACGGCCTTAAAGCGGCGGTATACATTTGCCAGGGGAAAGTCCAAAAGTTTATAAAAGGTACATGGTGGTAACCAAATTACAGGGTCCCTCGACTTCAGACACAGCGACAAGTCCAAACCCAACCCCAGTCACCTGACTCACTCGTCAAAAGTTTATACCTAGCCAAAAGTATACTGAAGGACATACCTCCTCGCCACTATGCCCACACCCACGGCGTCCTTACTCAGCACTAAAAAGGTAACTTCCAAAAGCGGTGCAAGCCATTGCGATTATAGCTCTTCTCACGCATAGGTCATACGCCGACAGAGCCATTGTTTATTTTTCGGCGCCTGATACACGGAGCATTCCGCATCAAAGTGAGAACGCCTTAGCCATTCCCTTTCCTGCGGCCCGATTTCCCTTCGCCGACGCAAAGTTCCTCTTTCCCGTCGCCTAATCCCCCTTCCCGGCGCCCGATTTCCCTTTCCCGCCGCCATGAAACCCAAGTCACGCTGCTCGATTTGGAACGCCGCTCGACTACTTGTTCTCGCCGCCCGATTCCCCGTCATGCCTCGCGATTCTTCTTTCCCGCCGCCCGATTTCCCTTTCCCGTCGCCCTACTCCCCTTCCCGTCGCCCGATTCATGTTCCCGCCGCCCGATTCATGTTCCCGCCGCCCGATTCATGTTCCCGCCGCCCGATTCATGTTCCCGCCGCCCGGTTCCCCTTTCCCGCCGCCCGAATCTCACTCCGCGCCGCCTGAATCCCCTTTCCCGCCCATTGATTCCAGGCGGGCCGCCCGTCCGCCCCTTCCCGCCGTCCGATTCCCGTTCCCGCCGCCCGCTTCCCCTTTCCCGCCGCCCGATGCGCCTTCCCGCCGCCCGCTTCCCCTTTCCCGCCGCCCGATGCGCATTCCCGCCGCCCGATCCCCTTTTCCCGCCGCCTCCCTTTTCCCCTGTCCGTCGCCCGACCCCCCTTCCCTTCCTTCTCTCCCTTCCATCCCTTCTCTCCCTTCCCTCCCTTCTCGCCCATGTCTCCCTTCCTCTCCCTTCACTCCCTTCCCTCCCTTCTCTCCTTGCCCTCCCTTCCCTCCCTTCTCTCCCTTCCCTCCCTTCTCTCCCTTCTCTCCCTTCTCTCCCTTCTCTCCCTTCTCTCCCTGCCTTCCTGTCCCCCATCCTTCCTTCCTTACGCACTCCTCCAGCCATTCTCTTCTCTTGCAATCCTCACTGCCATCCTTCCCTTCCGCTAAACCTGTAACCAAGCCCCTTTCGATTCTCTTGTCGTCACCTCCCAAGCAACAGCGGCATTGCCATGGGAAATTTCAACATGCATCTCCCACCTACCCCCGCCTACTCCCATCTCACCTCCCCTCCCCCTACCACCTACTCCAATCTCACCTCCCCTTTCCCCCCCCTTACCACGGGATTTCAGCCCACCACGCCTCCCCATACCACCTACTCACATCGTTGCTCCCCTCCCCCTACCACATACGACATACTCCCATCTGACCTCCCCTTCCCCTACCACCTACTCCCTTCTCATCTCCCCTCCCCTACCACCTCTCCTGGCCCTATCAGGCACTCTTTGCTCACCTCCCATCCCCCTACCAGGGGCATTCTTCTCACCTCCCCTCTCCTACCTCTTCTTACCCCCTCCTCTACCAAGGGCGCTCTGCTCACACCCTGCCCCTCCAGGTCCCCCACACTTATGTGTTTCTTTCTTAGTTGAATCTGACCTCCTACAGCCCTCACATTGTATTCCCTTGCTCGATTTCTGTGCTTGTGTTGCAGGTGGGGTGCTTTCCTGACTGCACATCCTACGCCTCACAGGGCACATAACAGCCTGCAACCTGGGCTTGGATAGGCTGCGATTGCAATGGGAATGGCAGGGGAGCATGGCAACGGCTACGAGCAAAGCAGCTTCAAGCCTCTCGGTCAATCGGCCTGTCCTTATACGATCCAAGTATTCAATCTTCCGCCTTGAACATTAGCACATAAACACACCCTCTTTTCCCCTTTTAGGTATTTCTTACTGACCCAACACATCGTGCCATCAAACTCATGTTTGTGTTTTTACCAACTGGTTATTGAACGTAGTGCTTTGTGACATCATTACAGGTTGCTGACTTCAACACTCTTTGTAGCATGTTCCCTACCATAACACAGTATGTAAACAAAGCAGTGGTCACGAGTAAAAGCAGAGAGGCAATCCATGCATACTAGTAACTAAGCAAAGAGTGCACGCAGCAGGTCGCCTTTCCTGGACACAGCGCCACAAAACCTGAGGGGATGGTGGCAAGGAGGGATGGGGAGAGAAAGGATGCTGAGAGGATAGATGGAGTGTGGAGGGATGCGGAGAGGAAAGGATGGGGTGAGGAGGGATGCGGAGAGGAAAGGATGGGGTGAGAAGGGATGCAGAGAGGAAATGAGGGGGTGAGAAGGGATGCGGAGAGGGCATTACTGGGAAACGTGGGTGGTAGTACGATACTGGAGGTGGAAAGTGGAAACAGTAGGTAGGGGGAGGGAGGGAGGGTAAGCAAGGGAAGGGAGCGAAAGGAGGGGATGCAGTGGTGGAAACGGGGGGGAGGAGGGGGGAAAGGAGAGGAAGCACGGGGGGAAAGGCGATGCAGAGAGGGGGGAAAAGGAGGGGAAGCAGTGGGGGAAAGGAGAGGAAGCAGTGGGGGAAACGGGGGGAAGGAGGGGAGAGGAAAGGAGGGGAATCAGCGGGGGAAATCAGGGGAAGCACGGGGGTGAAAGGTGTGGCAGAGAAGTGGAAGAAAGGAGGGGAAGCAGTGGGGGAAAGGAGGGGAATAAGTGGGGGAAAGGAGGGGAAGCAGTGGGGAAAGGAGGGGAAGCAGTGGGAGAAAGGAGGGGAAGAAGTGGGGGAAAGGAGGGGAAGCAAGGGGGGAAAGGAGGGGAGGCAGGGGGGAATTGAGGGGATTCGTGGGGGAAAGGAGGGGAAGCAGGGGCGGAAATGAGGGGAAGCAGGGGCGGAAATGAGGGGATGCGTGGGGGGAAAGGAGGGGAAGCAGGGGCGGAAATGAGGGGATGCAGGGACGGAAATGAGGGGATGCGTGGGGGGAAAGGAGGGGAAGCAGGGGCGGAAATGAGGGGATGCAGGGGCGGAAATGAGGGGAAGCAGGGGCGGAAATGAGGGGATGCGTGGGGGGAAAGGAGGGGAAGCAGGGGCGGAAATGAGGGGAAGCAGGGGCGGAAATGAGGGGATGCGTGGGGGGAAAGGAGGGGAAGCAGGGGCGGAAATGAGGGGAAGCAGGGGCGGAAATGAGGGGATGCGTGGGGGGAAAGGAGGGGAAGCAGGGGCGGAAATGAGGGGAAGCAGGGGCGGAAATGAGGGGATGCGTGGGGGGAAAGGAGGGGAAGCAGGGGCGGAAATGAGGGGAAGCAGGGGCGGAAATGAGTCCAAACGTGTGGACGCGGCCTTACGCATTTCGTGTATTGGAGAAATCCGTGAGGCGAGCAGCGCGTTACTGGTGGCTGCAGTAGGATGGCTGGCTCGCGCGCGCTTCTAGACTGAATTTCGCTGGAGAGCGCGTGCTTGCAACCGCGTGCTGTTTGCTGGGGCATCTAAGCGTCACATGCGCTCGCTGTGCTGGCGCGCCGCGCGGTATGCAGGTGCCGCTTTGCGGCGCGCGTTTTGCTGGCAAGCGCAGCTCTGCTGAGCGCGCTATGCTAGCGCGCGCGGAATGCCAGCATAGCGCGCACAAGTGCCGCGCGCGGATGCCAGCACAGCGCGCGCAAGTGTTGCGCGCGGAATGATAGCGTAACTGGCGCAAGTCCCGCTAACGGAATGCTATCATTGCTGGCGCCAGTGACGCGCGCGGAATGACACGACACACACGGAGTGCCACCATCGCTGGCGCTAGTGACGCTCGCAGGCGTCGCCTGTTCTGCACACGGCTAAATACTCACCCGCGTCTATGTATGTGGTCGCGCTGCTGGCCTAGCACCCTCCGGCCTGCTGCCTAGTACCTAAACTAGTAGCTACTAGATGCGTATTCCCCGTAGTGTGTGATGTGGCAAGTTCGGTGACGGGAGGTGTTTCCCATTTTGTGACCCACAACCTACCCAACCCTGCTCGTCTTACAACGGAATGGCTCCAGTTTTTCGCCAACACTCTCGCTATTCTGTTTACATTTTCGTTGAGGCGAAATCGCCTGGCACACTGTACAGAAACAACAGTGCTGCCAAATGTATACTGCTGCTTTAATTCCATTTTTTTCTTCAAAATTGTGAAGACAATTTCAGCTGTCCGATTTACTTGGCTGGAAGATTAACGACATTTTCGTTGTTGCAAGACTCGTCTACGAACAGGGAAGGCTTACTTGGAAGGTGGGAGAGTGTAAGGAACTAAAATTCCTTACTGTAATCAGTTATTAGCGATGACATCCCGAGGGTCACGCGATGAACTTGTTCGGCTCCGCACCAATAGCAACCATCACCGAGCCATCCCTTCCCGAACCCCCCGCCTAGCTAGCCCTTCCCCTATTTAGTCGTGCCACTCTCATTGTATCGTCATTCGGTAGTCAACCATTCTCGTTTCAAGTTTATTCATAACACTAAGAAGGGATGCTAAGTAAGGAAAATGAATGTTGACTCACGATCGTAGTGTACTGCCAGGCGGGACAAATAGCGTATCCGACACGCCTCCAACTGTCCCTTAATCTCCTAAACCCGCGCGAATACCCGCTCACGCCACACTCGGCAACTTGTCGCACAGGATCGCTGCAGTCTCAGTCAGCACCAGCGCATTCGGGCGATGTTACTTGCCGTTTACGAACCCATGCGAACCCTGCGATTACAGAATTTTGCACATGCTACTAGTTGGCCGCGAAAAAGCTCTGCCGTTGCTCGCACCGTGCTTAGCGATAGGGTCAACTTATTTAACGTTCAGTTAAAAATCCAATCGTGTCATAAATTGTCTTGGCTTCAAGGTGTCGCTACTTATTTTGGCGGTCGCTGCTTTTCCTGCTGGAAGCGCAATGTCCGCTCCTTCTCTTCTCCCACTTTAGCTTCTTTGCGAGGAACTAATTCGCGATCCTTATCCTCCTTATCGACAGTTGGCGAAGGCAGGTCAGTGTTACATGAACCTGCGACTATCGCAGCGGCATTCGCGTCGTCAAGCGCGATGGGGGGCGATTGCCTATCACGAGCTACAGTGGATGGTGACGTGGATGGACGACAAATGCGGACAGGGGAAGCGGGAATCACGGCGACTGGAGCCGTTGGGGCTTCAGGGGGGGGTCCGCGGAGTGGTGGGAGGCTTCGGATTGTGATCATAGGCGACGTGGTGCGTTGGTGACTATAGGCAATGTGGTGAGGAGGTGACTGTTGGAAATATTGTGCGCAGGTGACTATAGGGGATATGGTGAGGAGGTGACTATAGGAGGAGTGGTGAGCTGACAGCAGCAATCGCTGCGGGGTGATAGTGGTTAGTGGGTACTGGAGCAGGGCCTCTGACACGTGGCAGCACGAGATCCTCATGCTTCCCTCGTCGTGACTGGTGTATGTGTAGCTAGTGGCGTCATGTCGAATGTTCCACTCTCATTGTCATGCCTGGCTGGGCCTTCGGTCTCGATCGTTTCATTCTGTGTAGTACAGTTTCGTGCAGCGGGGGATGTTTTCGATCTTCTGTTACAGTCTAGTAGATTGCACCTCCCCCCCACCTCCTCTCCTACCCCATCCGTGCAACAAGGTTTTCTATAAGGCCCGTGCATGCAGTATGCTATGCAGATTTCCTGTCATGAAAGACAATCCGTTACATGCATATGCACCTTGATGACGTCACCCACAGCATGTGCCTTTGCTTGCCCGCCTATCTTATCCGCTTTCGCCTATCACAGCACGGCATGTGGCATCCATGGAGGGACCTGGCTGCTCTGAAGCTCCTCAAGGTGATGCTCCTTCGCACCTCGTGATGCTCGCTTGCTCGTTTGCGCCTTCTGAAACGCCTTAGAAATTAGTTGCACCTCACCACGTTCTTGAAGTGGTGCCAGCCACACACACCGCAACCATGATCGTACCAACACCCACAACAACAACATTGACTTGGCCATGGTCACAAGGCCACCACTTTCATAGCACTCTACTTTTCCAGGACCGATCCAATCAGCATCCGATTCATTGTTGCCTTCATGTCGTCCTTCAAATTCACTGATGACTCTGCTTGCAATTCACATTCACTTCCATCACGTTTCCCTCATACTTGCAGCGTCGCCTTCCCTCCTCTCACCACCTCCTGCCGTCCCATCATCCCCATCCATCATCCCTCCCTCTTCTGCTCACGCTTCACTCCCACGTCACCTTTTCCTCCCCTCTCCGTTTTTGTTTTTTTGGCGAGTTTTCAAAAGCCTGTCCCTTGCCGCATTGCATCGCAGCTGGTCTCATTCAAATCCCCTCTCCGCTCATTACCATCCCCCAATTCGCTCCCCTTCCCCCCATACCATCCTCTGCTCGTCCGCACGTTCCCTTCGTGTGCCATGGTCACTCATTGCGCTGCCGGGAGCCAGCCAGACATCATTCTCTTTGTCGGTGCGTGCCTGCTCCTTCCATCCCTTGCTTGCCCGCCTACCTTTTAGCCCCCCGTGAGCCTTCCCCTTTCTTCCCCTGCCAAATCTTTGTCTAACGTCTTCCACCCTCTGCTCGCACGCGCGCATTGCTGTTGATACCACATCTGCAACTTCCGCTTTGCTAATCGTTCCACTCATCATATGATAATCGCATGTGTTGAGATGAGAAGCATATAAAGCATACGATTGTGGCACGGTGCTGTCTGTGTACGTGCATGCACGCAGCAAGGCTTTGCGCCTGCTGCAGCACATCACCTTGGGAACGCCCGTGCACGGACCATCGTGGGCCCAACCCAAGGCGTGCAGGGGTTTCTGGTGAGGATCATTCTAGGTCCCCTTGAAAACCATCATCGTGTGCACGGCCTTTTATCACCCTTGCATTGCACCACCCTATGCCGAAACCGTGCAGGGGACTTTGGCGAGGAGCAGGTGCAGTTGGTGCAGCAGGTGGCGGCAGTGAAAGGGATGATGTCCGCTGTGGGCGCGCAGGTGGAGGTGGCAGTCATCCTCGGCAACCATGACGCCTGGTTCCACATGTTCAGGTGCTCTCAGGTGGTTCCACATGTTCATGTGCTTTCAGCTGGTTCAGAAGATTTCAGGTGTTCAGATGGTTTCAGGCATTCAAGTGGTTCCACATCTTGGTGTTTTCACATGTTCAGGTGCTTTCAGGTGTTTCACGTGCTCATGTAGTTCCACATATTCAGGCGCTTCCGGATGTTCAGGTGCTTTCACACATCTTCAGGTGTTTTCACATTTTCAGGTGCTTTCACATGTTCAGGTGCGGCTCTAGAGCTCAGGTGGTTTCAGCTCAGCGTGGTCAGAAATGCAACATGTCACGGCAGCGATTGTCACAATCCCGTGTGCCTGAAACTTGCACCCATTCACCCATTCACTGCCTTGTCAAGTCATGATGTGCCCTATTCGTTTTCTCGTGTTAAGCTTCGTTCCTCGTGCATGCCTTGCTTTCTCGGCTTCTATGTGCAGGAAGGAGAGTGGTCCATTGGTGGACACAGTGGATAAGCTCACTCAGCAGCTGGAAGCGTATGCTCTCTCCCCGCTACTCACTCACCACCACCTCTTAAACTCGAGCTCTCTCTAACAAAACATTATATCAAAACCCGCCACGTCTCATTCTCCTGCTCCTGTTCGTCGTGATACCATGTATCGAATGATAAGCTCACAGAAGGTTAAGCTTGTTGATGCGTGATCAAGACCACGTGATGCAATTCGTGTCTTTGCCTTTTCCACCTGCACCAAGCGATTTCCTTGACCCCCTTCCTCCTCTTTAACAACGTCCTCTCTTCTCCTGATTTCCACTCGCGCCACCCCACGTCAACTGATCGTTCCCCACGCCCACCTCCTGTCTCACACCCTCCATTGCCGTGAATTCTACACCTTGGTTTTCTCTGTTCTATTGCTCCTTCTCCATGCCCCACAAGGCTCCGCAGCCCCGCATATGGGGTGCAGCAGGGTGGACCTCCCCCAGTGGCACCTGTCCATCACCGTTGTCACTCCACCTTTCCTCTCCTTGTCCCATAATTCTTTCTCCACAACTTCCCCTTTACAACAACCAGCCTAGGTAGCCTGCACGTGGGGTATGGCAAGGTGGACCTCCCTCTGTGGCACCTCTCCTCTCCAGCGCCGTAATTACTCTCTACCTTTTCAACACTTCCATCCCCCCTCCACCAGCCTAGGCAGCCTACACGTGGGGTACGGGCGGGTGGACCTCCCCCAGTGGCGCCTGTCCATCGTGGGAGCTCGCCCCTTCTCCTACGGCCCCTCCAGCTGGGCTAAGAGCTTCTACCGCGCCAGGTGGGAGGTGGAGAGATGTGGCAAGGTGCAGAGAGGTGCAGAGAGGTTCCAAGATGCAGGAGTGATTGGATGGCTGGCAGGTGCACTGATGTTACAACAGCGGCGCGGGCAGAATCCAAAGAGGTTGCAGTGGGGACAAAGGGAAGCTGTAAGGTGTGGCACTGGACGTTGCACTGGTGGTCACACATTCATAAGGTGTGGCATGCGCACCATTAACGCCAGCACGGCAAACATCACAGAGACACTCAGAGCACCAGCATCTCACCACAACAACCCATGCGCCCATCCATCCCGTGCGCCATCAGGTGTGGAGTGCGCACCATGAACGCCAGCACGGCAAAGATCACAGAGACCATCCGAGCAGCACCCGAGTCACACAGCGTTGTTGTTCTCGCACACAACGGGCCCGCAGGTGAGCGCCTTTCCAACGTGAGCGAGGTTGTGGTGGTGGTGGGGTGCTGGGGTGGGTGGGTGGTGGTGTGCCGGGATGCCGGGGTGCCGAGGTGGCAGGGTGGCAGGGTGGCAGGGTGGGGTGGCGGGTTGGGTGTCGGGGTGGGGTGGCGGGGTGGTGGGGTGGTGGGTTGGGGTGGTTGGGCGGTTGGAGCGTGGCATGATGCCGCAATGCCACAGATACAGCTCCATGTTTGGTTTCAGAACACCACCAACCATCTCCCTCCCAGCATTGTTGCTCACGGCTGGACTCGAACCGGCTGTGCACCCAGGAGAGCATGTGGCGCCAATGTGCCATGTCATTCGTGATTGCCCTTTTTGCTGAAACGCCTTCGCTTCATTACCTCCTGCTATCACCGCGCCTCCCCCCTTTTTCAGGCCTGGGCTCCCACCCATGGGACATCTGTGGCAAGGACTTTCCCTCCAAGGGGCTGCCGCCAGGAGGAGACTTCGGAGATGAAGGTGAGGCGCTGGTGCCATCTCTTTGGGAGGAAGGGCGCCATGGTGACAGGGGAAAGGGGGGCAGGGGGGTTAAGGCGGGTGATTGGCTGCTCTGTGGTGTGGTGCCTTCCTTTCTTCCTTCATCTCCTTTCGCTCATCTTCATTATTCCGCTTTCCTTCGTCTTCCTTACAAACTCCAATATGAGCTGCCCCTGGGTGTGCAACGCATCACTCTTTCCCTTGATCACTCCATCACCACTCCATGGTAACCAGATGCATCATATGCACCATGGTCATCACAGCCTTCTTAGGCCAGAGCAATTACAGCAGCTCTGGCCTTTTCCTAGAGTTACCACAGGCAATCACAGCACCTCTGGCTGGCAAAGCGCCGCAGCCCTCTGCTGCTGTGTGCTGATGTTGGGCCTAAGGCACGTCATTTCCATTTCGACCGCTCTTTCCATGGTCCACTCGTGCGCTCCTTCCCCTCAGACCTATCGAGGGCAATCGCAGCAGCTCTGGAGGACGGGCGGCACATGCCACTGGTGGGGTTTGGCCACATGCACCGCGACCTCTTCCCCTTCAACCACATGCCCTTCCCTCCCTCCCTCCTTCCTGTGCGTTCTTTTCCCCTCAGACCTGGCACGAGCAATCGCAGCAGCTCTGGAGGACGGGCGGCACATGCCACTGGTGGTGTTTGGCCACATGCACCGCGACCTCTTCCCCTTCAACTACCGCTCGCGCTCCAACCGCCCCAGCACCCCTCACATTGCTCCTACACTGCAAGGGGAGCCTGTCACCCAGCGCCGCATGGCTGCAGTGCTGCTGCACCCCGCCTCGCCGCCTCTCCCCTCATCTCCCTCCCCTCTAGCCGCTGCCACTCTGCCAGCTGAACGGGCTACCATGGCTGCAGCAGCTGCGCTCTCTATGCCTGCTGCTGCAGGTAGCACGCCTCTTGCTGCTCCCTCCAACAGTTCTGACAGCACCCACACCACCGCCCATGCCACCACACAAGCCAGCACTCATACCAGCACTCATGCCACAACTCAGGCCAGCACCCTTGCCACCAACCACACCGTGTTTCTCAACGCTGCAGTCGTGCCTCGGATAGTCTCTCTTGACGAGGAGCATTTCACCCGAACCTCTGGGCCAGGTTTGGCAGTCTACCCCGCTCTTGGTTCGGAACCGCTTGACCCAACACCAGGGCTATTGCCGTCATACTGGAGAGGAATGGGAGAGAATTGGGGAGCAGGCGGAGAAGAAGCTGACAGTGGGCCGGAGGGTGTGACTGCAGGAGTGTGCCGAGGCATGAAAGAGTTAGGGATGGGTGGTGCGAGGGATGCGAGGGGAGGGGGAGAGGTGCAGGTGGCAGTGCAGGCAGGGTGTGTGGGAGGTGGCGCCCCACCTGCGGAGATGGTGTCACAACAAGTGGAGGACGCACGTTCAGTGACCGGTGTGGCGGATAGAGATGGGGAGTTGTGTGGGGAAGTGTGTGGTACGAAAGGAGGAGGGGAAACGGGAGGGGCAGCAGAAGCAGTGGTATGGGAGGATGAGGTGCGGTGGGAAGGGGACGATGGAGTAGCAGTGGGAGAAGCGATGGGGGGAAGGGATGCGGGCGCAGCCCCGTCGCTGCACCACTTTGTGCTGGCACACCTGGCGGTGCAGGAAACAGTGGTGGCAGCTGCTGCTGACAGTGGCAGGGAAGGGCAGTGTGTGGATGGTGACCCGAGCCGCTGGGTGTGTGTGGGGGCAGAGGACGTGTGGGTGAAGGTGGATGAGCGGACGGGTGGTGGTGAGAGGAGGGGGATGGTGGCATGCTTGCACAGGAAAGGCAGGAGGTGATTCCTGCCCGTGTGGTGAGATTGAGGAGCAAATACCTGAGGTGGTTGATATTTGTTGCTTTGCAACAAAGTTGAATGGGGAAGATGTGCAGTATGTTTTTGAAATAAATATCAATGCTTCCTTTTGCATGCTCTGAGGAATCAGTATGTGCTCTTCACTTCAACCTCAACGCTGAGCCATCACTTGAGCATTGGGTGTAGTAGCCCTAATTCTTGAAACGCGGAAGAAACAATGTAGCCATGTTGATATATCATACATTGCACTCGGCAGACATGAGAAATTAATTATTTCGTGCATGTTGGAGCAGCCAACTTTATCCATATACGGTACCTTTCAGCGAGACACTCACCATCACCTGACACCGTGCGAGGCCCGCATTTGGAGATATTTGGAGAACACATTGCAAGCTTTCGGACAAGGGAACATGACTCAACTTGTATAACGAGTTACTTTCAGGCCACATCCGAATTCGCATGTAACACTTGGTCATCTTTTAGTTTCGCTAGCCCGTTCGCCCAAGCTGTAAGGTCTCAAGTTCCTTGCAAGCAGCTGTCTTCGCGAACGCAGTTTCCAAGCTCGCATGCCTCGGGATGCCTTAGTGTAGGTTTCGCGACACCGTTTTCCTGCTTCTGGTATTGCAGAGCATGAGTACTTCAGGAATATCGAGATTGGAGATTGCGTCTACTAATCTCGATAGTTCTACTTGGATTGAGAAAATATCTTTCCCGAGTATAACCTCAAGGTCATTACTCGCGCATCGAAGGTTTCAATGGCCCAAGAAAACGCCATCCCGTTTGCACTTCTAGACGATCGCCACCTTGGTGTTGTCGGAGTTACGGTACCTCCCCGGGCGATAGGGACGAAGCCCTGTGAGATTTCTTGTCAGGCACAGTTTCCCTCGACTGCTCCCATCTTTGGCATCAGAACACTCTCCTCCACTTTAGCCTCAGCCTTTTCCGTTCATCTTCAGCAGCCTTCTGTTCCTCCTCAGCCCAAAACCTGTCTGTTCGATGCTTTTAAGCACCATGGAACTACTTCCCGCTGAACTCGTTTACGACATTCTCGAGCGTGCTCAACCGACGGGAACACTCATTGCTCGAATCGCGTGTCTGTCAAACAAGTTTAGACGAATGGCGGACACGCAGCTGTGGTACTGGCACTGCCGTGACCAGCTGGCTAGAACAGTCGAGATCGAGGATACAGCTGATCTTGAGAGTTTCCAGCGAATGGTGAACGAAATGGAAAGCGATGATATTAAGTCGTTTGGAAAGTGGTTGAATTGGTGTCCCGGTGTCAGACGCTCAATGTTGAGAGGGAGGAAATGCAAACCATGGCGGGATGAGAATGGCAACGACAGTGACAACACAGCTTCTGATGATTGGCAACCCGTGCCTGACGCGGAAGAACACGCGTGTGGCGGACCGCACCTCCACTCCCCGACTGCCATTGTGCTATCCCTAATCGAAGGTTGCTAGTTTGTGCTTTCAGATGCTTGCATGTGCTGGGAAACTGAGGGAGTGCTTGACGACCTGGGCATCCGAAATTTGCGAGGATTTTCGAAAGATTTCATAAGCTCGCAGTAAGCTCCCTTTCTTCCCTATTCGCTCTAAAGGCCGAGATGGGTGTATCACGGGAGCTTTTGGTGCTGGGATCTGGGGCCAGTTTCGAACCCTAAAGTGGATCAGAGCCCGTGCATGGCACCACGCCACTTTAGTGCCCATCTTTATATATTTATCAATAGCTCTACGCCCATGCTCTGTGTTAGAAGTAGCATTTCTCACTTCACCTTTCCAACAGGATATTTACCCATTTTGCGAAGTCCTTCGTAGAAGACGAATTGTGTCCATTCTGCGAATCCCAAGTAAGTTCCCGAGCATAGCATACCTGCCTTCGCATTAAATCCAGCACCTGCTAAGGGTGTGCGAAAGCAAGACGTGTTTTCATCAAAAGACTTTATATGACCATGTTTTCTTCTTTTATGTCTATGCAACTATGAGTCTGAATCATGTATTTGGCAGGTTATTGATCTCCATCGAGAGAGGAATGCGCATTTGAAGACCATCCTCTATTTCAATAATAACACCAAGAATGTTTTAAAGCTTCCTACATTTGTTAACTACTATTGCTCCAAGGTGCACGCAACTGCAATCCTGGCGGCCTCTCCTCTTTCCCTTTCTGTTATCCTTCTCTTCTCGCTCTTCCCCTCTCTCTCTCACCCACTCTCTCTCCCTGACGCAGGCACATGCGTGCATGCACACACACACGCGGGCGCGCGCGCGCGCGCGCACGCACGCACGCACACACTTGAACGTGTTGCTCTGTGCTTTTTCATATTGCGTTGGGTTTGGATTAATTCTGTTTGGTTATTTCTGCGATTGTCGCTTTAGGGTCATACTTACGGAGTAAGGAGGACAACTTCCAGGCCATATCCTCCTATGGCGGGTGTTGTTCCAACTGAGTCGCGTGTTGTGCTGTGGTTGGATGAGGGAGCCGAGATCGATCGTAACGAGCTGGTGGATCGGGTGCTGGCTGTGTTGAACTCGGAACGTGATGTTGAATACGTCGTCATCGAGGTGATTTTTTCCATCATTTTGCCAGCCTGGTTTGTTGTGGTTTGGTGCTTATTATAATGTGAAAAACGGGGAGTCTGTAAAGTGCATCTTCATGGGAGCCAAGTATGCTTTTGCAATCAAGAATAACTTCTTGTTCTTATAGTTGCGCTTCTGCAGCATCACGTTGCTAATGTTTTTGCTTAAGCAGTTTGGCACCTAGTTGTTTCGAATATTTGAGTGGTACTTGTTTCTTGTGTACGTTCGACTCGACAATGGTCTTGATCTGACACTATTGCCATTCAAGTTTGCTTATTGCACCCTTGCTGATATTATTTTCTTGGAGCCAGAACCGTCGTGACAGTTCCCTCTTGGATGGACCGCCAGTTGCAGAAGAAAGTGCTGCTCTTGCGGCTGCTCCTGCTGCTGCTCCTGCTCCTGCTGCTGCTCCTGCTGCTCCTGCTGCTGCTCCTGCTGCTGCTCCTGCTGCTCCTGCAGCTGCTTCTGCAGCTGCTCTTCCTGCTGCTGCTCCTGCTGCTCCTGCTCCTGCTGCTCCTGCTGCTGCCACCCTTGTTGCTCGTGCTGGTGCAACTCGTGCTCCTGCTGTTGCTACTGCCCCTCGTGCTACTGCTGCGGGTGCAACTCATGCTACTGTTCCTGCTGCTGCGGCTCGTGCAATTCGTGCGAATGCTCGTGCAACTCGTGTGACTTCTGCTGTTAATCGTGGTACTGCTGCACCTGCTGCAACTCGTCCTGCTGCTGCAAATCGTGGTACTGCTGTTGCTGCTGCACGTGCTGCTGCTGCCCGTGCAAATCGTGTTGCTGCTGCTGCTGCTGCTGCTGCTGCTGCGCGTGCTCCTGCTTCCCGTGCAACGCGTGCTACTCCTTCTGTTGCAACTGCTGCTGCTGCTGCTGCTGCTACTCGTGCTACTGCTTCTGCCCCGACTCGTGCTGCTGTTTCTGCTGAAATTAGTTATACTGCTGCGCATGCAACTCGTGCTACAGTGGTTGCTGCTGCTCGTTCTACTGCTGCCCGTGCAAATCGTGCTATTGCTTCTGCTGCTTCAAGTCGCGCCCCTGTTGCAAATCGTGCTGCTGCTGTTTCCACTCGTGCTACTGTTGTGCGTGGAACTCGTGCTGCTGCCACTGGTGCAACTGACTCCCTTCCCCTTTCTGCAATTGTACTATAGGTCCCTGTGCCCAGCAAGGGATGATCATGCTGCTGCTTTGAACTCCTATCAACATGCATCATCTGCTCTGCATCACATCACAGCACTCAACGTGTCTGAATAACCAACTACTGTGGCTGCAGCTGCTGTTGGTGTTGCTGCTATTTGCGCTGGGACGGATAACAGCCAAGGAGAACTTTGAGACATGACGTGTGTGATGGCTCGAGAACGTAATGGCATCAAATCATGTGAAAACGTTGAACATGGGGTTTTTTGTTTGATCAAGACTGGCGTTTCAACAGTGAAGTGTGCGTCATCAACTCTCTGCTGGTACCCTACATAGAACTGTATCTCACACGGCCTTGCAGTTGGTAATCTGTTGTAGGTAGTAGGTGTTGGGCTGAGGCAGCCCTTAGGATCTTTGCAGGGGTAAATTCGGGTAGGACAATTGTAATAGCGGAAGCGTTTAATGAAAACTTGTGAACCACCTTGCGCTGATATGTGAGGGCAAAGTAAGTTGATTAAAGCAAAGAGATACAAGCATTTATATATGAGTACAAGGAATATGAAAGGATACAGTTATAACTACTTTACTGTTGCTGTTGCGGTTCGATACAGTGACGACTCGGGCAACTGCTCTGTAGCGAGTCAGTTGTGTGTCCTTGCTGTCGCGCTGTATTTGTCAGGTCAAAGGTCGCTGACCTTTGACTTTCGCGTAACCTCCGGCAACCTCTTTCAACCTCCGAGGGTTGACTCGCGTGTGCCTCAATATGGTTTGCTTCACTTCTGGTGTGATGTTTCGACACGACAGAGGCGCTTTAGGATTTACTGTTTCCAACACTCCCCTTCGCTTCTGGAGTGTCGCTGCTGATGACGTGGCCTTGTCCAGCATGCAGTACTCGAACTTCTGCTTTCCGAGCTTCTTGGTCAAGTAGTCGGCTGCCATCTCGGACGTGGGACAGTAGGATAGTTCAAGTCTCCCCTTCTCGATCTCGTCTTTCACGAAGAAATATCGCAGGGCGATATGTTTCGTTCTGTTCGCGAAGCCACTTTTGTTGGCGATGCGAATTGCCGATTGGTTGTCGCAGAACAGGGTGAAGTTGGGTAACTCAGCTAATTTCGCTTCTTCCAGTAGCTCGCGAAGATAAAGTCCTTTGGTGGCTGAGCAGAGTGCAATGTATTCTGCTTCAGCTGATGAGAGTGCGATTAACTCCTGCTTGCTCGACTGCCAGGAGATAGGACCGATAGGTTCAAGGCGATAGATGTAGCCGGTGCGCGAGCG